GCTGGCAGTTTCCTGACTGACTGTCCAGCATGGCACATGCGTGTGTAGGCACAAGCTCACATGTAGCTAAACTCTGGACTAGGCTCCCAAGGGAGGTTGAGGATCCCTATCATTGGAGGCTTTTAAGAACAGGTTGGACAAACACCTGTCAGTGATGATCTAGGTTTACTTGGCCCTGCCCCAGTGCAGGGGGCTGGACTTCTTGAGGTCCCTACATTTCTATGATTCTGGAATGATGTCTAGAGCATACAGGGGATGAGAGAGCCCCCAGAGCAGAGCAGAGAACACATTGCTTTTGCATTGTCTTGTCTCTTTGTCCATTACCCAGACACTAGTGGGCAAACAGAAGCTCCTACCATGATCCATGACAATCAGCTGCCTCCTTCCCCATTCATTGTTATCCCAGGCCCAGCTGTGTGTGGTGTCTGGCCAAGTCAGGACAGTGTAGGGATGTGAGAACAAGGCAGTACACATCTGAAGAGGGAAAACCCCAGAGAGGAACAAGAGTGATTCTTTATCGTACTCCACAGGGATGTAATGAGGAGCAATCGGAGTGAATTTAAGGAAGGGGACATTCCAGCTGAATCTCACAAAAAGCATCTTGAAGGCTGGAGAATTGTTTCCCCAAGGGGCCAAGGTGAAAGACCCATCACTGGGGATATTTAAAATGAGATTGAACAGAGCCCGGAAAAGACAAACAAAGTTCAACTGCACAGAATGTGAGGAGCTGCCTGCCCTGGGTGTGGCAAGCTAGTAGGGCTTGCAAGTCTCCAACGTTAGCATCACCTTTATGCCCATGGGCATGACCTGTGATGTAACAGACCCTGGCTTGTGATGTCAGTGAAATAGCCAGTTCTGAAGGCAAGAGCTGCTGGTTTTGCTCAATCCTTTCTGGACCCTGGAGCGTGAGAACAGGAGGTACCAGGGCCCTGCAGCAGGAGCCTGCTAGCGTCTCAAACTGAATCTGCCCAAACTGAAGGTCAATAGTATCATTTTTCTTTCCTCCTTGTCTCTCCCCTTGGCTTTCTCCCATACTCCCCAGTGGCCCCTGGGGACCAGAGCATGGTGATGACTGTTTGGGAAGGTGAGTGGGGAGCAGAGTGCATCTGTAGGGATCTCTTTCTAATTGCAATGGAGGTGACAGTCCTGCGCTTGTCCCTTCCGAGCACTCGGTGAGGGGATGCAGAAGGACATTACATCCTCCTCTGGCTCAGAAACAAGGATCTGTTTGCAAAAAAGGGGGGCTCATGCTCAGGGAGCAGAGTGGGGAGGGGATCAAGGGGCCAGAAACCCAAGGGCATTTCCCTGCAGTTGTGTGGATATCTGTAAGGCCAAAAAAAAAAAAAAATATATCACAGAGATAATCCACTGCCGGTTATCTTGATTTTTAAGATGCCCTGTAAAAGCATAGCACATGCCTTATAGGAAGGTGGCACTGCCTGGGTGTAGCTCTGCCCTGGGAGAACATGGCATGGGTCCTCTGGAAGCGTTGCCTTGTCTTGTTTGTAGTTGGGCTCAAGGGTAGCTGATGAGGGTAATGATTAACATGGCCATATGTGCGCTCTCCCGCCCTCAGCACAGGGTCTGGTTAGTGAGGGCTGGGCTTGTATGTATATTCAGTGACCTACATATGCTGTGAGTGCCAGCTGTGTGCACTGCCTCAGGCACCCCTGACATGAGAGCATGCAGATGCACACAAATGTACTTCTGGCACACACCTCTAATACACACACACACACACACACACACACACACACACACACACACACACA